AAGTTTCATCCAGAAACTTTATATGAACCTAAAGTGTTGTTCAGTTAGTGGCTGAATGGTAATCTTGGTTTCCTTTGTTTGGGACAAACATTTGGGAATGTTTGTTTGAGAGGAAGAATAACCTGTTTGGATCAGTCAGGGGTTCGATGTCACATCCCTGAGCTAAAGTCTGATCTCCCTGATATGTGATCATCTGTAGTTTAACAGCAGAGCTGTCTTTACTTTGATCAAACCTCCTCCTCTTGTTCTAATGGAGCTTCTGGATGTTCACAGGTGTGATCCAGTGACACGATGGAGAGTTTAAAGACGCGGCTCGAGTTCCCCAGCCCCGTCATACAAGCCCAGGTAAGAGGCGGACTCTGCTCTGTGACTCCTCCCATCCAAATGATACAAATGATCCTTCCCTTGTCTGCAGAGATTCCACAGGTACGAGTGATTTGTTACTGACAGAGGTAAACTAGCAGCTCACACGGGCAGAAAATCTCTACCATTAACAGGAATTCAGCAACACTCATAAAAAAGTCTCCTGATAAGACGGAGTAAAGAGTAACGTAACTATTTGATAGAGTAACAGGACTGTAAGGTGCACGGATACATGTGTGCAGCTGTTGGAGGATTTTAAAGAGACAGGAGGTGAGTTTACAGTGTAACAAGATCAAAGACACAGAGTTACTTTGTATGTTTGTTGGCAACCACGAGGGTTTCTGAGTCGCTCACACTCGTGTGTATAATATGTTTATGTAGAGGGGAGGCAGGTTTTACTGAACACACAGACTCAGGTCCCTGTGGGCTCATTCATTCATTCATTCATTCATTCATTCATTCATTCATTCATTCATTCACTCTGTAGTGTTGGTTTCTCTTCCTCTCGTTGTTATTGTGAATAATGGTACAGAAGTGTGATTTCTTGTGTTGCAGACGGTGAGAAGTCTTGTTGCAGCTGTCTTAAAGGAAAAAGGGTCAGATGGGCAGATCACCTGGTCCTGTGCTCAGGTGAGTTCCTGTAAGAGTCACATGTGATCATTTCTTTAGTTACATGAAGTATAAAAGAGCAGGAACATCTGCTTCATGTGGTCCTGTGTTTTATCCTCAGTGACTTTGACACATCTGCTGTGAGGCTGACGCCTCTGATCTCACAGTGTCAGCTTTGTTCTTATACACAGATATAAAATATGGATATGCACTGAGAAACGAGCATAGTTATAATATTTCTGACTGTCTGAGTCCAAATTGAATCAAACCTTGTGGGATTGAATCAGTGCTGAGAGGCTGAACTGAGTGGGACAGATTGCACCTCTGTCTGTGTCCGTTTTCATTCAGGGCTTCAGTGCATGTGTGGAAACGGCACAGATAGTCTTGTTAAACTTCTGAAACTCTGACTGCATCACTGTTGTCGTTCAGGGCCCAGCACTGGAAGCTTTGTGGCAGCAGTGCTGCAGTGACTGTGCTGTGGTGTGTTCAGCGTGCTGTGACACCTTGGTGTTATTGGTGGACCAGGGCCATGCAGACCTGGACTACATCCTCAGTGGTGTCCTCAACCTCCTGCCTTCTGCAAGGTATGCAACACGCAGTTATTGGACGCCACGATCCTGCCTCAGAAAGCTCAGCTGTTTGTCAATGAGTCTGACAGAGGCTCTGTAACCTGCATCCATGCAGCGTTACAGCCGCTGCACAAAGGCACAACATGAAAGACGGACCTCAGCAGGACGAGGTTGTGTATCAGCAGGACAAAGAAGGCTCTCTTTAGCATGACAATGCTAACACTGGGAACTGAGAAGAGGCATGAAGAAGGCCGTGTTTGTCCACTGTTACAAATTCAGTCTTTAAATCCCTTTAAAGGCCCACTCACACCTCGCCTCAGGTGACCTCAAAGGTCACATGATGGGTCGCAGTGAGGTCTCATAGTGGTTCAACCCTTAACCCTTGGTGTTGACAATGACCTACGCTTTTGTTTATACTCATGTGACGACGCACATGACAAATAGCTCGATGACCATCTCCAAGGAGGGCAACGCCCTGTAGGGTTTAAGTATGTGGGTCTCTCCACCTTGTATAAGAAGGAAACATCTTTAAAACTTAATCAAGTCCAGTCGCCTTCTTTTCCAGCTACCAGTGTGTAACACGGAGTCAATGCTTCCAGTGCAGGAGCCCGACTGACAGTCTACAAACAGAGTTAGACACACGGAGGTCACAGCTTAGTCTGTGCTGAGGATAAATCCACGATGTCATTGCTCTCCATCAGGGCTCATGTGAAGTAAAGAAAATAGCTTTGGAACATGAAAATGTTAAAGGTCACTGTTCCACAGATGCTCTCTAATCTGGACGCTGACCTCGTGGTGCAGCATAATGTAACTATTTGAAAACATTTGAAGCAAAGAAAACGCTCAGACTGTTAGTTTTTTCAGTTATTCTGACTCTGATATCCAACAGACACACGCAAGGGTTGATAAAAGTCATTCGGCGATTGTTGGAGATGCAGGCTGACCAGAGCGATGCACACTTCACCTGTCCGTATTCTATCAGGTAAGTATCTCATGTCTAATATCTAGAGGTGTTCATACATGTTGTCTTGTGTAATCTATCAAGCTACACATAGCTTGTAGCTTACTGCTAGTCCAAAGAGGCAGCACTGGTCCATCACCCACTTGAAGTGCTGTAGGGGTCCGGTGCTCTGTGGGGTGGCAGTCGTGGCCCTGGTGCTTGAGTCCCAGCTATAAACTGGCTCTTGGAGCATGAGCATCCCAAACTAGTGCGTGTTGAAAAACACTGACTACATGTAAAGAGTGAGAGGTGGCAGGCAGGGAATGGGTACGTTTGTATCTCCCTGATTTGATCAGCATTTAGACGTTTTCCCTGGTGGACAGGACGGGTGCTTCCCTGTGCCGTCATGTTGGGAACAGGTGCCCATAGTCATCTGTTCACATGTGACTAACAGCTGTTTAGAGTACTTTTTAGAGTTGCTGGGTGAGGTGGGTACCCCATCTAGCAACTCCATAGTCCTGCTGGGGGACTTTGATGTGTTGGTGGCAATCCCTGAACCAGAAGATAGACATTGGAGGTTCAGGAGCAGCAGGTTGCAGCGTCCTGTTAGGCTTGGCTATCTTCTGGCAGATATCGACAGGATGAGTGTAACTCTTGCAGAAGCTGAAGCAAAAACTCAGCTGTACGAGGAGCTTGGTGAGGAAATGCAGCAAGACTTTTGGAGCTTGGTCCGTTTTGCCATCACTGTCGGATCTATTCCTGCTGGGTGTTGTTATCGATGCTGTTTTGAGTAATTCTGCAGCTGCGTGTGAAACATTGGGAATGAGAGTCAGCACCTCCAAGTCTGAGGCTGTGGTTCAAAGCTGAAAACAGTGGAGCAGCCACTCCAGGTCAAGGACGAGCTGGCGCCCAAGTTGGAGGCGTTTAAGTATCTGTGGGTGTTGTTCACGAGTGAGGACAGAGTGACAGACGGTGCTGTGGCTGCAGTGATGGGCCGCTGTAAGAACCAACAGGGTTTTAACATTAAAAGTGATGTTTGGTCACAATATGGTGAGCTCTCCTCTTTTTAGTGCATAAAATCTGTCCTGTGGATGAATGCAGACTTCACCTCAAAGGCAAAGACACTCGTGAACATCC